TTTACAGCCTCCCAAGAGCTGGGATTACAGGCGCACACCACCACATCCAGTCTAGATTGCCATCTCAGCATGCCCTGGGGGCGGGGGTGGAAGGGTAGGCCTGGGGATGGAACCCCGCCCCCTGGGTCTGCTTGTAGGCACTTTAATCCCCTAAATTATTTAGCCAGCCCCGTGTTCTTCCCCCCCCGGAGAGATCCAGCTGGCGGGGCAGGCTCAGCTGCTTAGTGACAGCTGTGGAAAACCTAGCCCCCCCCCCCCCCCCGGCGGAACCAGGAATTGAACTCTGGCCCTTGCGCTTGCCAGGGAAGCATTTATTCCACTGAGCCATCTCCCGGCCCCCTGTGTTCTTAATACACATAAATCAATGGTGAACTGGAGCATAGTTCAGTGGTACAACACGTGCAAGGGCCTATATTCATTGTCTAGCCCTAAAATTAAGAATAAACACAGCAACGGAAGCTGGTTGTTAGGGTTTGGAGTGAGAATGTCCCCCAACAATCTCAAGCACTCATAGGTGGCGCTTTTGGGAGGTGACTGAACCAAGAGGTTGACCCAACTGACTTGCCGGGAAGAGGAAAGTACTGGTCTGAAGGAGGAGGCCCGGGAGGGAGTAGGGAGGGGGAGGGGGTCTAGGGGTGGGGGGTGGGGGGTGACCTGGAAGCATTAGCCTTAATAAAGCTTCTCCTTTAGGAGGTAGTGTCGGATATGCTGTCCCAGCAAGGACAAAGAGAGTGACTGGGACAATGGTGCATATCCGATTGTAATAGCACCAGAAGCATACGCCCCCCCTTTTAAATTTTAGTGCAGGGTCTACAGGGTCTCACAACCTAGACTAGTAGTGATTCTCCTGTTTTCAGCCTCCCAAGCACGGGGATTACAGTCGTGTGCCCCACCACACCCAGTCTCAGGGGCCATCTCAGGGGCGGGCCCGCACATCACTCAGGCTGCTGGGCTCTGCCTATGCAGGTGCGTTAGTCGCCTGAGCTATCTGGCTGGCCCATGCCTTTTAATTTTCTAGTCATTGGTCTTGGCTAGAAGGTCCATCACAACGCTGTATTTCCTCCCAAATATACCTGAGTCTTGTATTAATTTTTTGCCCAAAAGATTCAGTAGGGTTTATTCTATAACAACCTATATTCCTTTATTCATGTATAAAAGTCTGCATTTACTCAAATACAGTCATGTCGTCTTCTGGAACACTCATAATTCAATATGTCCAGTGTGTGTTGCAACAGACACCGTTAATGTATCAGCTGGCTGGCTGGCTATTCTAACTGGGGTGTTTTGGGGGTAGGGCTTATATTACAAGTATCCTGAAAAAAATCATGCTAGGGCTTATTTTGCAGTAAGGTCTTATGTGGGGGGAATAGGGTGTTAGAAAGTGGACATCCTGATTCTGTTCCTGGTCTTAGCAGGAAAGCATCTGGTCTACTACGATAAAATACGATGTTGACTGTAGGCGCTCCTCAAATCCGCTATCGAGTCGAGGGAGCTCGTTACTACTGCTAGTCTGTGCAGTGTTTTGCACTGGCACACGGTCTAAAACATGATTATTTTAGTAGGTGAGGAGCAACATGTACGGAAGCACGCGTTCCTTACATGCACTGTCCCTGCTGTGCGCCCAGGACCAAACAGCTGGACAGAACGGGCTCGGTAAACACCTGGGGAGCAAAGGGTCTGCCCCAGCCCCACCCCGACCCCCAGATCCGCTCCAATCACCACCCCCCACACTGGAGTGGAACTCAGGAAGCAGCAAGCTATAGACCTAGCCCAATTTTTTTTAAAAAAATTATTTATTTATTTATTTATTTATTTGTGTGTGTGTATGTGTGTGTGGCCAGCTCAGCCCACCAGGGAGCGGGGCTGGCTGGCATGTGGTGCTGGGGGATTGAACCGTGGTCCCTGTGCTTTGCTAAGCTTGTTCTCAGTAGGTGCTTTAGACCACTGAGCCATCTCACCAGCCCTAGCCCAATTTTTTTAACTATAGCATAGAATTGAACCCAAAGGGAAGGGGGAGAATTGAACCCAAGGCCTTTGCACTAAGCAACATCTTCACCTTTTTATTTTATATTTTTTATTTATTTATTTTTTTTGAGACAGGGTCTCATCATGTAATCCAGGCTGACCTCAAACTCACTATGTAGCCAGATTGGCCTTGAACTCGTGGTGGTCCTCTTGCCCCAGCGTCTCAAAGGGATTGCCCACCCTTTTAAATGTTTTCTTTTTCAACTGTGAGACAAGTTGTTGAGGCAGGCCTTGAACATGTGATCCTCCTGCTTCAGTCTCCTGAGTGGTTGGGACTACAGGTGTGTATCATTGAGCCTGGCCCCCTGAATTTTATATCCCAATGATACTACAGTGCTTGGGTCCCCCACACACCAGGGCTGAGCTAGCTTTCCTCTCTCCAGTGTGCAGCTGACGCCTTTTCCGAGTTTCCACACTTGCCCAGGTGTCATTACAGGGAGCCTGCACTCCTTCAGGTTCCTCGAATCCTGAGCAGAGGAAGCCTCTTTTTGTGCTCTCCTGGTACCCTGTGCAGTATACGCTGCACTTCGTACTTAATTATTTTGTTTATATGTCCACCCTCCGCTGCACTGGATCGGCACAGTAATATGGGGTACAAATTAGAACACCAGTTTGGAGCCAGGTGTGCTAGGGCACCTGAAGGCCCGAGCACCCTGGGAGGCTGAGGCAAGAGGATCACAAGCAAGTCCGAGCTCAGCTTGGGCAGCTTAGTGATTTAGTGAGACCCTATCTTAAAATAAAAAAAATAAAAAGGGGCTGAGGGTGTAGTTCAGTGTGAAGGCCCTGGGTTCGATATCCAGTAGTACCCAAAATAAGTACAAATGCCAGAACCCAACTGCTCAGATTCGAAACTCGGGCCCTTCCCTGCTCACGTGAAATTGGCTGTAGCTCAGTTTTGTCATCTTGTCAAATAGATGATAACAACAGTGCTTGTCTCCCAGGGGTGTCTGAGGCTGTCGGACAGCGAGTGTCCAGTACACAACAGCTGGGATATGAGAGGCAGCTACTGGGCGCTGTGCGCCAGAGCCCATGTCTTTTTTCCTCTGCATCTCAAAGCCCTCAGTCCAATGGCTGGAGAATAAATGCTTTCTGTGAAGGTAAGCATGCAGGAAAGTATTTGAAAGGGGGGAAGATGAGTTCAACCTTGAATAGGAGGTATAAATCAGAACCTGTAAGCTGTGTTGACTATTTTTATGTATTTTTTAAAATTGTCTTTACCTTGAGCCTAATCCTATCAAGTTGCAGAAGTTAAATCCTACTCATTTAATTCTCTCCCCAGGATTCTTTCCACAGGGTCATATAAGAGTCTGGGGGGCCAGGGAGATGGCTCAGTAGAATAAGCACTTCCCTGGCAAGCGCAAAGGCCTGAGTTCAATCCCCGGTTCTGCAAAAAAAAAAAAAGAGTCAGGGACACATGTGCAGTGCCTGGAAAAGGCTTCTTAGCATAAGTCTATTTTCTTTCTTTCTTTTTTTTAGGTGTATTTAGACAGGATTTACAGGGCCTATAGGGTCTCCCTACATAGATCATACTCCTAGTGATTCTCCGTCTTCAGCCTCCCAAGCCCTGGGATTACAGGTGTGCACCGTCACGCCCAGTCTCAATCACCATCTCA